CGACGAGCTGGGCCATGAAGGCCTCGTGGCCGACGAAGAAGAGGGCGAGGGGCGGCGACGCGTAGAGCGCCCCGGCGGCGCCCGCGACGCCGAAGAGGAGCTCGACGAACGCCTTGGGCGCCGCGTCGACGACCAACAGGCGAGACGCCGTCGCGAGCTCGAGGCCCTTCTCCGGCGCCGCGAGCTCGGCGACCTCGTCGCCCGCCGCCGCGTCGACCTTGGACGCCGCGAGCCAGCGCGCGCGGCCCCGGGCCTCGAGCGCGCCGCCGAGCCGCGCGCCGAGCAACCCCTTGGCCGCCTCCGCGACCAGGTGCACGGCCTTGACGCCGAAGACGGCGCCGAGCTGCGCGAGGAGCCGGTCGAGGGGCAGCTGGCCCGGGAGCGACATGAGCTGCTGCACCTGGCCCGTGAGCGCGACGCGCTCCACGGCCGCCGCGACGAGCGTCGCCACCAGTAGGCCCAGAAACGACGCCCAGTGGTCCAGCGCGTCGCCGAGCGCGTCCCACCAGGCCCGGTTCCGCGCCGCGAGCGCCGCGGCCTGGACCTCGCCCGGCGACGGCTCCGGGGCCGGGGGCGCCGCCGCCTCGCAGCGCGCGGGCGGCAACGCACCGGGCGCCCAGCAGGCGGCGCCGAGGCCGCACGCGGCGCCGAGGCCCAGGCCCGCGCAGCGGTGCGCGACGGCGTTGCGCGCGGCGACCGAGGGCAGCGCCGTCGTGCGAGGCCGCCGCGCGAGGCTCCGGCCCGCGGCGAGGCGCGCGCCGGCTCGACCGCTTCGGGCCAGCATGTTGCCGCACAGTCGTACGGCGAGTCGGCCGCGGCACTGCTGGATGGTTGAGGCCTTCAGCGAAGCCCTGATGTCATGTAACTTGAACCCTTTCAGTAGACTTGTCTGAGCAGTCTGGGCTGCATCTCTTGGGTAGCTGCACCACCATGGCCGACGGGGCGGTTCACGATACGAGGGATGGTTCCGTATCCGCTAATCAATGGCTCACGACGACGGAGAGCTCGTCTAG